GGGCCCTGCTGTCATGCTGGAATTGGCTTCAGGCAGACTTGTTTCCATTTCATTGATAAAAACAGAGACAATCAAAAGAGAAGATCCATCCAGCTCCAACTGTCTCCTTATGCATCTCTCTCCTGATGGACAAACTGCCTCATTCCGATTGAAGTCAACTTTTCCTCCCAGGCGCTGCACTTCATCACCTCTAGTCTACTCAAGGTCATCACTTCTCTCCTGAGTCCTTAAGAACATGCTAAAATAATCTTCCATGTTTAAACAGTGCAAACCAGAAAACCTCTCCATGACCGCCTCTTTTTACTCATCCCCTTTATAGCAAAACTGCCCATGCTTTCCCCACACACACTTCCCCTCCAACCATTCTTTCTTAAAATCGGGTCAGTTAGGTTTTCATCCCACCACTTCACCGAATAGGTTAAGTTCCTGTTTAGGGTACTATCAAGATCTCCCAAAGACATTCCTTTTGCGAAATGCGACGGCCAACCCCTCCACCTCCGATGACTTGGGATCCAAGCTCCATTGGAAGCTGCCAGTCATTCTCTCTTTCTTGAATCATTTTCTTCTCATAGATTCTAAAACATCCCTCTCTTTTGTCCTCCTTCCTCACTAGCCCCTCCTCAGATTTCTCAGTTTGTCCTTAATCTTCTTGACATCTAACTGTTTGTTCTTAATCTTCTTGACGTCCAGGTCTCTGTCCTCAGATCACTTCTCTTCAGTGTCCGCACTCACTCTGCAGTGATCTCATCTAGTCTCATGTCTTCAAATGCCATCTATTTGCTCGTGATTCCCATGTGTGTTACTGCAGCTTGGACCTGTTCTCTGAATCCCAGAGTCATGTATTTAACTGCCTACTTGGCAGCAACACTTGGATTCGAAGCAAGCATCTCAAACTTACCCAAAACTCTACTCTGATCCCCACCCCGCTCCCTACACCACTGGCTTCTTCTCCAGTGTCCCCTCTTTCAGGAAGTGGCCCCCATTTACCCTAGTTACTCAAGTCCAAATTCTTGAAATCATTATTGACTCTTCTCATTTCCTCATACTTTCATCCAGTCCCTCAATAATCCAATTGGTTCTACCTTCAAATTGTGCCCCAAATTCAACCATATCTTACTATATTAGGCTAAGCCAAAATTACCTCTCACCAGGATAATTGCAAGAGTCTGGTCTCCCTACTTCCACCACGCCCTCCTATAGTCTATTTTCCACACGGTAGCCAGAGTAACCCTTTTGAAATAAGGGTCAGGACCTGTCACTTCCCTGCTCAAAGCCATCACCCTTAGGATGAGTTCCAAAGCCATTGGCATGACCTGCAAATTCCAGCATGAAGCCCGCCCTTGACCTCTCTGTGCTTTCTCTCCCTCATTACTCTGTTCCAGACACACTGCCCTCTTAGAGTTCCTCAAGCACCCCACCTTGCTCTCTTGTAGGGGCTTTTGCCCTGGGTCTTCCCACTACCCAGAATGCTCTTCTCCAAAGTAGCTCATACCTTCACTTCTTTCATGTCTCTGCTCCAATGTCACCTGTCCCAGAAGCCCTGCTTGTCACTTTCTAAAGCCTAGCTCTGGCTGTTACCCCTACCCATATTATTATATATCTTTGATTATTTATTTTCTATCTCTACCCACTAGACATTAAAATCTTAAGGAGAAGGAATTTGCTTATTTTACTGCTATATCCCCAAAGCCAAGGACTATGTCTGAGCCATAGTAGTAGCCCATTCATTAAATGAACTATTTTAATAAAGGAATGAATGATTCTCTAGTCATAGGTTTCCTGGGGTGATTGCAGGGAGTAAGGTATTTAGAGCAATTTCTAGCACATGGTAAAGGACTCCAGACTATCTGTTCCTTTTACCATTATTATTATAAACAGAATGGATGGGAGGTGGCAGTGGTGTATAGAAGCTAATCATCTTGTGACATCTGCTATTATCAGAGTTTGCTTCTATTTCTGCGTTTTGTATGTTCCCATCTGGCCTCTGCTCTTGTAGGGGTAATTGAAGAAAGCATGTGCCTTTGAGCTCGCTGCTCAGACTTTGTTTAACTTGTGGGCATTTCTCTTAAGCTGTCCACTTGAATAAGAAATGTCACATTGGCTTCCAAGGCCGATTCTCCAGCTTTTGAAGCAGGCAGGCTCTGAAGGTCTGACAATTTCCAGCTACATCTCTCAGAGCAAGGATAACGCTACAGGTTTCTTGGCATCATGCTAAACTTCGGAGAACAAAGAACAGCAGGTGATGGATGGGTTTGAAGGGAGAAAAGAAGCACGTGAGCACAGAAGGGAGGCCAGACTGCGCACTTGTAGGTGTCACCCATCGCCTTCCCTGTATTGGCAGCAGAAACCAGACAGTGATGCCTGATGCTTCACTTTGATCAACAAGGAGTGCCCCTTTATTCTTTTTAACAAATATATAAAATAAAGGAAGTAGCTTCCAAATCGCAGATTTTCTTTCCCACTCTGCATCCCTTCCCACCCTCACTGACCACCAGTACTTCCATCCCCCTGGGAGAGAGGGGTAGCTCTCTCCATCCCTACATCTATCTCTGCCAACTCACCAGCATGGGGGTTAGAGGAAGGCAGATTTAATTTTGAACCTTGGTGTTTACTCACCTACGCTGTGTGACCTTGGACAAGTTTTTTTATATGCATAAAATTTTTTATTGATTTCAGAGAGGAAGGGAGAGAGAAAGAGATAGAAACATCATTGATAAGACAGAATCATTGATAGGCTGCCTCCTGCATGCCCCACACTGGGAATCGAGCCCACAACCAGGCATGTGCCCTAAGTGGGAATTGAACCAGTCATGGGTCCTGATTCATAGGTCAACTCAGGAGCACCTCCTTCTTCCTGCTTCCTCAACAGCCCCAATTCCTCTGGTGCAGGGGTCCTCAAACTTTTTAAACAGGGGGCCAGTTCACTGTCCCTCAGACCGCTGGAGGGCCGGACTATAGTTTAAAAAAAAAACTATGAACAAATTCCTATGCACACTGCACATATCTTATTTTGAAGTAAAAAAACAAAACGGGAACAAATACAATATTTGTATTTGCATGTGGCCCGTGGGCCGTAGTTTGAGGACCCCTGCTCTGGTGGGTTTGGACTGTAGGGCAGAGGGAACAAGACAAAAGGGAAGTGTTGGCTGGCCCACTGTTTCTGACCTTTCTATGAATAATGTTGCTGCTTCTCTGGCTAGGCCTTTCTGGCTGGTGATGCCCAGTGGGGCTTCTCTAGAGGACCCTGTAGGGCCTCCCCTCTGAACTTCAAGTGCAAAGTTGGCCTCAAATGGCCACAGTCAACTTCAAATGAGCAACAAAGTACATTCCCACCACATACTAGGAAAGTGAGCAGAACAGCATGGTGTCGTGTGCACACAATAGACACCCAACTTAATGGTTTAAAAGAGTAGCCATCTCTGTAGTTGATGGTTCTGTGAGTTGACCATTTGAGCGGGACTCAGCTGGACAGTTCTGGTCTCGTTTAGACTCCTTTAGTCCTTGCAGGGAAGCAGGTGGCTCTGCCCCTGGGATCTCACTTGAGTGACGGAAAGTGACTGGACCATGTGTCTCATATCACCCTTCAGGCTGAATTGGGTTTGTTCATATGGCAGTTTGGCACAGTTCCAAAAGGGATGGCCAAAGCATACAAGGCACCTCGAGGTCTGGGCTTGGAACTGGTTTAAAGTCGCTTCTGCCACTTTCCACTGATCAAATTCCCCAAACCAACAAGATTCAAGAGGTGGGGAAACATGCTCCCCCTTTGCTGGGAGGAGCTATACAGTCACATTGCAAAGGGGAATGGGTAAGGGAAAGGGAGAGAATTGTGGTGTTTTTGAAGTCAACTGCCCAGCACTAAAGTCATCACATCTTTCTGATCTTCTTAGAGAAAGTTGGGGGTTTGATGCAGAGCCAGATCAACCACCTTATGTGAACTATCTTAAAGGCAAAGTGACCTGTTGCATGTAGGTGGTTCATTTCTTTTATCTGAGCAGAGGGAAAACTGTATGTGATAAAAATGCATAGTAAATACCAGAGACTTTTTAAAGGCCACTGTGGCTGGGCTGGACAGAGCAAGGTGGACCGTGGTGGACTTTGGGATCCAGAATGTGCCAGTCACTGGAGCCCATGACAATGAGCTTTTCTTTACATTTAAGAAGAAATGAAACTTTGTAAAGAATTTTAAACACATGCTCACATCTCTGTTTCCAAAAGATCCTTCTAGCTCCGATGTGAGGACTGGATTGGAGGTTCGGACTGGACCAACCCCAGACTTTTGGAAGTCAGAACTTTTCCAAGCTTTTTCACGAGTCCCAGAGGCAAAGAAGAAATAGTCTAGTTTGCCAAATGGTCAAAACTGAGCAGAAGGGCAAGGGAAAGAGCAGAGAATGTAAAATAGATAATTCCACATTCTGTCCTACACACACACACACACACACACACACACACACACACACACGTTACTTATCCATGTGCTTCAGACCCAAGCAGGCCTGAGAGTTACTGGTTTGTGTTCTCTGGATGGTTAAGCCAGATTGATTCTGGGTTTGACCGTGGCCTCGCCTGCTTTGCTGTGTAAAGAGACAAACAGTAGCTAAGTGACCCTGAGAAAGGCCAGCAGAGGCCCCGGCATTACAGACCCAGCCTTTGAGCCCAAGAGTTTGTACTGTAATTCAAATTCTAAAGGCAATTCAAATTCTAAAGGCAAGTAGTATCAAAATCCAATGTCATGGGATATTTTGACAGCACGTTGGAGGGACCGCAAGGAGGCAGGGAGGAGGAGCAGTGGCAGAAGCTAAGGCAACAAGGAACCTCCTTCTGTAGTCTGGCTGCCGAGTTCCCTCTGGCACTGACATCAGCCCACCCACACAGGGACCTCTATGAGCCTCCAGGGGCTGAGGGTGTCGGTGGGAACAGTGCAGTGCATGGAGCAGCCGCCTCCCCCCGCATGAGTCTGCACGATCGATCATAAGAGCGTCTGTTCTGTCATTGCATTGCAGCTCCAGAAACTAAAACGATCACTTTCTTTCAAGACCAAGAGTCTACGGAGCAAAAGTGCTGACAACTTCTTCCAGCGAACCAACAGCGACGTGAAGCTGCCAGGGGACATGCTGGCTGAGGTCAGCCCAGCTCAGCCCCTCCCGCCCAGAGCTGACGTCCACGCCCACAGGCTGGCTGCAAGCCCATGCCCTTTCAGGAGCACATCTTCAAGAAGCCCACTTTCTGTGACGTCTGCAACCACATGATCGTGGGTAAGTCTTTCCCCTGCCACTTCCTCCAGGTACGTCAACATAAAATTGTGGGGAAACCCTGGGAGTTTGGTGTGGAAAAGATGTAAGATGTACAGCTGTGTTTTAAAATACTGCATTGGAAAAGTCAAGAGGCCCATTTTATGTGGCTTTAGAGGAAAGGGTTGGGAACAAGGGGTAAAGTTAAAAGGTAAATGTCAGTGAGAATCAAACCTTTTTCTAAAGATATTTTTAATGATTTCAGAGGGGAAGGGAGAGGGAGAGAGAGATAGAAACATCAATGAGGAGAGAGAATCATTGATCAGCTGCCTCCCACAACCTGCACATATGCACCGACAGGAAATCGAACCGTGACCTCCTGGTTCATAGGTTGACGCTCAACCACTGAGCCACGCTGGCTGAGCGAGAATCTAACCTTTTAACTGATGCACTTGACCTGTCATTGAATGGCTTGCCTTGTAAGTAGCATGTGATTTAACTTCTGTCAGGCATAGATCATCTCAAAGGTCTTTTTTTACTTAAATATCTGATATTCTTTCAAATGAAACATGGCATGTTTGTTGCTTCCCAAAGAAGCCAATAGCTGTCATCATTGAACTCGAACGTGTGGTTTCCAGTATGGTCAGGAAGGCAGGATTCTGCAACTACCTTCACCCTTGACCAAGACCCAATTAAGTAGTATAATATTCAGAATGAGAGCAATGTCAGCCCCTCTTGTGACTGTCCACACAGGGCTATCCTCATTGAAAACCATTATCTACTCATATTCTCATTTTCTCATCACTATTCATGTGCTCCCTTCAAACAGGCCACAATCAGGATCAGTGCTGTGTCAGTCGAGGATTTCCACAGTAATGCTGGTTAAAAAATACTCTTGCAATTAATGTAGCTTACTTTTACTCTCACTCAGGCATCTTCAGATCATTTGGGGTTTAGCTGATCCAGACTCAGCTCAGTTATTTTGCCTTCTCTCTATTTCTTTTTTCTCACTCTTTCCTTGGACCAGTGGGGTAACCATATCATGTTCTTCTCATGGCAAGGACAAGTGGAAGCATACAAAGCTCTCCTTAAGGCTTTGGATTGGAGGTGACATGTCCCTTCTACTGGCATTCCTCTAGGAGAATGGGGGCCAAGTTCATGTCAAGGGATGGAGAAGTCACTCACTCTGCCTTGATATCAGGGACTTTAAAGCCACCTGCCAAAGGGCACAGGTAGAGGGACGCGTGAAGAATGGGGTCAATCATTCAACCTATCACAGTGCTGAGGAAGGCCTCTGGATTATTAAACTATTTTGTTTGGTAGATTCTGCTAAGTCTTGGATCCATACCACCCAGCCATTTCACTCTTCCACCTGGAAGTGAGGCCTGGCATCTGACTGCGAGCATGGCGGGGAAGGTGTCTCGCCATGTTCCAAGCTCAGAATACTTAGGCAATTTGGCCTCCAACTTCGTATTTGTGTCTGCCTCCTTAGCTTCTGTGTCTGACGCATCACTTTCAATTTCCACACAAATTTCCACCAGGCCTTTTCAAGGCAGTGCTATTCAAAACCCGTAAGTAGGTGATGGTGAGTCTCTATTTTAAATCTCATTGTGACCAGTGTGAAAAGACAAACAGAGGACGTGTTTTTAAAATGAGTAAGGGAAATGAATTCACCTCTGAGGAATGCCACCGTCATTACCCTAAAGAGGATTCTAGGTACACCTCAAGCACAGCAACAATTCTGAGACTTTATTTTGAAAAAAAAATCACACACAAAAAGACTCTGTGCTGAAGAGAATTGCACTATACTTTTCTCTTATCAGAATTAAATGTACATTGCAGCTGCCTTTTTTCCTTAAGAAAGAAAGAGAGAAAAAATACAGTCAGCAAGGCATGCTGTTCCTTTCAAAGATGAGAAAGTAAACCAAATAGTAGGCTCCTTCTAGGAAAGAAGAAAAGGGATTATAGAGGCAGGAGGGAACAGGGAGAGAGAAAAGGCAAGAGGAAGGAGGTGAGGAGAGGAAGAGGAGTGAGGTGAAGGAGAGGCTGCTGAGTGTTTTAACTTCCTGAAACCATGCCTGCCTTTGTCATCCGTGATAACAGAGCATGGTTGCTCTGCCCCTTTTCTCTTTGCTCCTCAAATCTAGTCTCCTTTCTCTACATATATCACTGGAAGGTTTGCTTTTTCAAGCCACAGGTCATCTTTATATTCTAAATTCAAGGGAAAGACCACCTGCTGTTACCCTCTTAGAATGGCATTTCAGAAAATATATTAAAGCAGATACTGTTTCCTTTCAAGGAGAACCAAGGGTTATATAATGATGGCCAAGAACAATCAAATCTCCTCTTAGCAGTTTCCAGCTGATGGATATTTGTTTAAAAATAAAAGGAATCTGGCGTTCTCGCTGTCTAGGATTTCTAAGTTGGAATGGACACGCAGAGTTGGGTTGACAAAGCCTCACATTGGGCTTCGCCTGCTGCCTGTGCCTGAGAGCTGGAAAGGCTATGTTTTTGCCACAAGAAAGTGACCAATAAAAGTACACCTGGACCCCAGCCTCAGTCCCTGCCCATCTGATTATAATTTCCTTAGCTCCTTCACTCTGTAACTCATTCCCTATTTTCAGCTTTGCCCTTGCCCTTGGACTTGACACCTGAGACTGTTCTTTCCCTACTGATCTGGCTCCCATGCCACTTGGGTTAAGCAGCCTCTAGGAGACTGCTACCCTTTCTGATCTTCCTTAGACTATGCCTTTCCGGAAATTCGTGTCTCCTATACAAGCCAAAGGTGACCAACCCAAGCTTTCTTAGAGACGCCAGAGAAATAGACAGTCAGGTGTGTCTGTCTACCCCAATGCTGGATGTCCCAGTCTTTGAGTCAACAGGATTCAATACGCAATCTTAGACTAGGACAGTGTTCAGCAAACTGCAGCTTGGCAAACCGTGGCTCGCGAGCCACACGCGGCTCTTTGGCCCCTTGAGTGTGGCTCTTCCACAAAATACTGACTTCTGCGCATGGGCCACGAAGTTTCAATCGCACTGTACGTACACGCCCGCACGTGGTATTTTGTGGAAGACCCACACTCAAGGGGCCAAAGAGCTGCATGTGGCTCGCGAGCCGTGGTTTGCCAACCACGGGACTAGAGAATCCTCTTGTACTTGGTTAGATAAACATACTCCCTCCACCAAGCACATCCACTCTTGTCATCCTTAGCCCTTGGCAAGGGGAGTTGAGGGTGGGGTCTCATCTTTATTGTGCATCAACTTAACATATTCCATCTATGACCCTCTGTCTTTACATTGAATTAACTATCTACAAAGACTCATTTCAAGAGAGTTTTGGATTTCCTTGTGGTAATCTGCATCTTTTTGAAGTTTCAAGACTTGAATAAGTCAACATGCACTACTCCATACATTAAGGAAGTTTTTCCAAGGAACTCCATTCTTCCATTTACAAATAGATAAAAAATGTTTTTAAATTAACTAAATGTTTTTAGTTGGCATTCAATTACAAGACACAGCATATTAAATGAATTCATGTTTGCTATACAAATATTTCGCAAAATGGCTGGATTTCATTGCCTGAAACTTCAAGTTTCCTTATACATTCAATGCAGAGTCTATGAATCATTCACTTTCAATCTGTTCGGTAGCAACCATGGGGGAGGGGGAGTAATAATAATGTCTTTGTCTTCGGTAAAAGTCCCTAAAGCAGGGCCTGAGATAGAGGTTCTTGTGAACATGGTTGTGGAGAGTGCCCTCAGGAGGAGTCAGAGAAGCAGGAGGGTCAGGGGAAGGAGTGAGAATGTGGTCTCAGCTGGAATTGGCTTCAGACTGGTCCCACCCATGGGGAGCTCTGGAACACAGATCCTCTCACCTGGTGATACCACCTTGAGACAAAGGGCTGGCCTTTGTATATTCCTGTCACTCAGTCATTGGCCATGGCTGCCCCCAAGAGGCAGTGGGGAATATGACATCCCAGGCAAGGAGGACCCATTTGGCTGAGAACAATTCTCTGGAAAAAGGGCACCCGTGAGCCATTAGCAGCCATCATTCACAGCATCAGCATGATAAATAAGATGTGGACAAGGTACCAAGAGCATCACAACCTCTGTAAACATATTAATTCTACAAGATGCAATATAAAAGCATCCTCCTCTAGGAATGAATTTAAAATGCAGATGGACCCTTGGCATTATTGTACCTATAACACTGTGTTACAATCTTCTATCTATATAAAAGGCTAATATGCAAAGTGTCCCCTCAGGAGTTCGACCAGGAGACCGGGAATTCAATCGCTCACTATGATGCGCGCTGACCATCAGGGGGCAGTGTGAAACGAAGAAAGGCCCCAGCCGGCAGCTGGAAGGCCCTGATCGGCCCTGATCACTGGCCAGGGCTAGGGACCCTACCCATGCATGAATTTCGTGCACCGGGCCTCTAGTTATAAATAATATAACATTAGGAAATATTACATCATGCTGAGTCCAAGACCTTTCTGCTCTTCTTTGACCATTAGTTTAGTTGTTTCCTGACCTATTCTGACCTCATCCAATTGCTCAGAAAAAGCCAGATCAACCAAACTTGACTGGAAAACACACACACACACACACACACACACACACACACGTCTAAAAAGACAAAGCTGGGTTCACTATCAATTAAGTTGTCTCTTGGCAGGAAAGGCCAAACAGAAATCAAGGGGAATATTAAAAAACAAATGTCACCTGGCTGGTGTGGTTCAGTGGTTGAGCGTCAACCTATGAACCAGGAGGTTGAAATTCAATTCCAGGTCATGGCACATGCCCCGGTTTTGGGCTCCATCCCCAGTAGGGGCAGGCAGGAGGAAACCAATCGATATGTTTCTCTCACATCAATGTTTCTCTCTGTATTTCCCTCTCTCTTCCACTCTCTCTAAAAAAACAATGGAAAAATATCCTCCTGTGAGGATTAAAAATGAAATAGACACTGTAGGTTTGGGGAGAGGAGATTTTCATGGTAAAATATATGTTTAGAAAACGCTGTAC